GGGAAGGGAAGGGAAGGGAAGGGAAGGGAAGGGAAGGGAAGGGAAGGAAGCCATGCACCGAGTCCCCCAGGAGCAGCAGTTAAGACCAGAAATCCCACACCTGGGTTCCCCACGCTCAGCAGCCACAGCCTGGTGAGCAGTGTGGTTGCATGGGAGCCTGTCTGCAAGCAGGCAGCACTTGGCTACCTACAGCACATCTTACACACGCCTGTCTCAGACTCCCAGACCACAAACCCACCATTTAACACATGCTATCCCATTTACAAGCACACTCCCAAGACAAGGAGCTGATCTCATTAACACTTTCTTTAAAGAAACCCTCTGGATACTGAAGTCTGACATCACTACAAACTGGGGGTGGGGGATGAAATCCCATCTCTTCGTTTTCTTGATCTGAGCCTAAATGGCTCAGAACTCCTAAATGGAGTTTGCAGTGTAGAAAATATAAATGACAAAAATGCCAGCTTGGTGAGAAGCGAATGTGAGATGGTGCAGCAGAGATCTGCACTGCACCATGTTATGGCTGAACGAGCTCTGCTCTGTGCACCAAATTGGAAACTGCTCTGCAAAATGCTGGAGATAAAACAAAGATTCAAAAAGTTATTGTAGTTATATGTAGTTATTAATTACAGGAGAGAGAACTAAATGAAATCAGCTCCATCTGGAAAGCCAGGAAAGCCCTAATAATCAGCATTACTGGGCTTGGCCAGGCTGCTGCAGTGTAATATTCAGAATAACTTTGAATTACCTCTGGCCCCAAAGCAAATAGCTCCTGCCAGAATGGCTGCATACATAAATGTCCTTTCTCTCTGGCTGGATAATATGGGAATTTGATGGAATATGTCTTGCAAACGAATCCTTGGAAAACATCTGCACAGCTACAGTACTTTTGCTGTGCTCCATTACCCAGTACACACAGAAACCCTCCTGTGCTTTCTTCTTTCTTTCTCCAGAGCAGCCCATCTGGACCAGGTAACAGTGAATTCACTCCCCCATGCCTGCTGGAGCTGTTTTATTGGGTCTTTGAATGGGGTTTTTGAGCTGCTTGTCCAACTCCAATGGAAGAATCAGAGAATCATTAAGGTCAGAAGAAACTTCAGATCACCAGGTCCAACCCCAGCCATCCCACCATGTCCACTGACCACGGCCCCAAGTGCCACATCTCCACAGTTCTGCAACACCCCCGTGGATGGTAACAGATGAGCTGTCAAGTCCTTGAATCAGAGGACATCCATCTGCCTGGTGTGCTCAGCATCCTCAGCATCACAAATGGCACTTTGCCTTGATTTTTCATTTTCAGCCATCCAGTCTGTTTGGAGAGGTTAAATCAAGTGATTCCTGTCCAGTGATAGGGGCTCACGTAGGGTTTGTTGTCTGATGGCCTCCTGTTCCAAAAGTACCCACTCAATCAGCAAAGGAGGTGCAATAACAAACATATCACCTGTTTTGAACTGTTCTCATACTTACTGGTGACAATGAAGGAAATCAAAGATGCTTGCATGGAAGAAAGTGGGAAAGGACAGAATTGTTTTAATTTTCCATGGAGCAACAGAGACACAAAGGAGCAAATGGATACGTGGTGCTTTCTGGGGACACCTGACCATCTTTATGTGCTTTTTATAGCCCTATTTGTAATCAAATCAGGCTGTCCCAGCTTCAGCACAGAGGAATGTAGCAGTGTTTGCAGTCAAATTGTGCAGGAAGCAAACGCAAAATCGTATTGTAATTGTTAATGTAAATTCCTTCTCTCCATACAATGGTCTCCAGTGGGTTGCAGTAAGCCTGCACTTTGTGTAGGCACTCACACCTGTGCTCACACAGTCCAAAATGCACTGAGAGCTTCCTCCCAGGCACAAGGAAGAGCTTTATGCACTCCTGCTAGGGGAGCGCAGGGGCTGACTTAGTGCAGGATCAGCCTCTGCTGTTTCATGGGAATACTGCATTTTTTTTCCATGTAGTTTAACTCCTTGCAGCTGCTGTGCAGTGCTGCTAGTCGCTTTGTTTAGCCCAATGACAGACACTGAGATAACTGCTTTCTCATGCGAGCAGCTCTTAGTGTTGCTCATGGGCTGGGATGCGGCATGAGAGCTGCACAAGCTGCACAGCTCCTTCCCCACAAGCCGACCCAGGCAAGGCAATCACCTGCGGTCTGCACAGGTTTGTTCATGTCTGGGGAGAGGTGCTCCCAAGCTTTGATGCTGCTGCCCCATGGTCAGGGTGTTGGGAAGGCTGGTGAATGATCCTGACTCATAAATGGGCAAGACTCGGTGGTTTTAGCTGGCTGTCCATCGCTTGCTTCGTTCTGATGAAAAGCAACGGCTTAAAGAGAGCAGCTGGTGGAGCCACCACCAAAACGAGTCTTTTCTCTTCACAAGAACCAGTGCTACGTGCTATATGTGCCATAAAGTGCTAGCACACAGCTGAGCCCTTCCGACACATAGCAAGTCAATGCCCAAGGAGGCTGTGGATGCCCCATCCCTTCAGGCATTCGGGACCAGGCTGGATGTGGCTCTGGGCAGCCTGGTCTGCTGGTTGGTGACCCTGCACACAGCAGGGGGGTTGAAATTAGATGATCACTGTGGTCCTTTTCAACTCAGGCCATTCTATGATTCTATAATTCTATGATACAATACTGTAGGCTTAGCTCTGCTTTGCAGGGTAGGAGCTCATGAGTCCCGTTCGTAAATCATGCTAAGGCTTTATGGTGAGAAAGCACCGTGTGGTCCGGTCTGCACGCAGGGCTGACCTGCTCAACTCTGTGAGAGCAACAGCTGTTCCAGCAATGTAAGTGGGAACCAAAACTGCTGAGATTTGCAGAGCTTTATGCGGTTGTCATTGGTTTTCTTGGCTGGTAATGCGAGCAGAGAATAATAACATTTGAGTCATCCGAAGCTACAATAGTAATAATAATAATAACAGGATTCCAAAGGTTTTATTTTGTGTGTATCCTGCTATTATTGACTTGCCCTTTGAAATTATTTTTCTGGGAATAATAGAGCTTCTTTTTTGGACTGGGGGCTGGGGTCAGCTTCATTTGTCTTCCACCTATTTAAAAGAGAGAGAGGAAATAAAAGCAGGCAAACACCATTACGACTTCTGGAGTTTATCATTTCAGTTCAGATCTTCTTACAGAGCTGACAATCTGCATTTCAAAGGCTTCAGACCTCTTTCTCTATCGTTTATTAGTAAATGATACGTAACAGTCAGATCCTTTGACAACGAAGGATCACACTCCCCAGCAGAAATAGAGTTTCATGATGCTGGAAAGCCTCCTGCCTGCATGGAATGATTCTTCTTTTCAGCTGCACTCAGGCAACTTAGGTTTGGAAACAAAACATTCTGGTAGGAATCCAAAACCTCTGTAACAGACCCCCAGGCCTGGGATTTGTCTAATAGTTTGCTATTAAAGAGCTCTTTGGTTGGAATGAAGTACCAGACAGTGTTTTCCTCGTTCAGCTCTTGGACTATTATTTTCCTCCTTTTCTTTTTTTTCTTTTAAATCGGCATTTGAACCTTCAAGACAAACTTGCTGTCAAGATGATGGAAGATCAAGGGGAAGGGTGCAGCTTACCAGATTCCTGAAGCCTGACTTCTGCTGGGTGTAGGGATGGTGGGGAAGCCCTCCTTTCCCGGTCACAAAGTGTGATCACCCAACGCTGAAGGCCAGCAGTGCCAATGAACATGAGATAGGGCTGCCTTGGAGCTGTGTGCTGCTCCCAGAGAGACACGGGCTGCCATAGGGTTCTGGTGCAGAGCAGCTCATCAAGCAAGCCAAGTACCTCAGCTGAGTTTGCTTTGCTCAACTGCACTGATCTACTGCTG